AGGGAAGCCCAGTATATTCTTTTTAACATAATGATGCTTATAGAAGTTTTTGGCAGACGTTCTTTATCAGATTAGGGTAATTCTTTTCTCATTGTAGATTGAGTTTTTTTTTTCACATGAAAAAGTATGAGATTTTATTAAATGCATTACCTGCGTGGACTAAGAGAAATATTCACCACACTATAATTCACCACACTAACCAGTTTTTAGAAAAATATAAACAACCTGTTTCAAACTTAGTGGCCCACTCTAGCCCATGGTGTTCTCCTAATATTTCTTTAACCACCAACTGTGAACTTTGGAAATCACACTTCCCATTTCTTATAGCTTTTGTAAAAAATAAACAAGCCTCAATTAAATAGAGTCAGGAGACGAGAGGGGGAGCTCTCATACCCTGCAACCATAGCAGAGCCCAACAGGAAGAAGAAAGACTTCTTTTCTTCCCTGGCAAGACCTTGGCCAATGAAAAGCCATGGACTCTTTGTTTACTAAAGCCCTTCCAACTTGCTTTTCTCTTCTATGAAGGGGTTCTCCTTTCCTCATCAAGTGGGACTTGCACGTGGCTCGCCAGGGTTGCAGACCCCAAATTGCAATTCTACACTGATCCCAAATCAACCCATCTTTGCTGAAGAAAAAACCTGCAGTCTATTGTTTTAGGTCCAAAAAACAAATCAGTTCTGTTGCCCCTATTTCCATTATTTGAAAGGTAGGATTGCGCTTACTTTCTAATGCCTCATCTATGAATTCAGCAGTTTTTCCCAGATCTCATTACAGCCCTACGACAAAGTTGTCATCTCTTATGAGACTCAATTCCTAGCAGGGCATCCTGAGACTACCCTAGTCATTCAAATATTTCAGCACATCCATTTCACTCAAGTAAATCTGCTGGAACCATTTTCTTATGTTTACATGTAAGACTCTATATATCAACACATGCCAAGAAGGTAGTTTGCCCTAATGTGACACACTCCCTCAAATTATTACTAATCCCAGTACTCTGTGATGCTAACATGCATGAATTATCTATTACAACCTATGTGTATGAACTGCTATGTGCCAGGCATGGTGTGAGGTATAAGAGATATGTATTGCAAAGAGCAGAATCATAGCTCTCCTAGTCCTATGAAACTCATAGTCTATTGGGGAGGGGAGAGATTAATAAAAATCACCCAAATATATAATTACAAACTGGGATAAGTGTTATGAAATACAAGTACATAACAGAACAGGGTGACCTCACAGAGGCCTGATGTTGCAGGTCAGTGTATGCACGAGAGGGAGGGGTACTGTTGGGATATCCAGAATGGCTCTTTTTCAAAACATTTTATGAAGTATAGTTGATTTACAATATTGTATTAATTTGTGCTATATAGCAAAGTGACTCAGTTATACATATGTACATTCTTTTTCATGTTCTTTTCCATTATGGTTTATCACAGGATATTGAATATAGTTCCCTGTGCTATGCAGTAGGACCTTGTTGTTTATCCATCCTATATATAATAGTTTGCATCTGCTAATCCCAAACTCCCAATCTTTCCCTCCCCCACTCCCTCCCACTTGGAAACCACAAGTCTATTCTCTGTATCTGTGAGTCTGTTTGTTTCATAGATATGTTCATTTGTGTCATATTTTAGATTGCATGTATAAGTAATACCATATGTCCATCAACAGATGAATGGATAAAGAAGATGTGGTGTATACACACACACACACACACAATTGAATATTACTTAGCCATAAAAAAGAATGAAATAATGCCATTAGCAGCAACATGGATGGACCCAGAACGGCTCTTCTTAGTCAAAGATCTTTGAGATAAAATTTGTAGGATGAACAAGCAAACATCAGCCTAGGTGGAGGAATCAGCACACATAAATTGAGAAGGAGAGAGGTCCTTAACTCTCTCACAGCCTCACCTCCCTTACTTCCCCAGCTTGCATTCCATAGCCTGTCACAATTACATCCTCACAAATGCCATTCATTCCTTCACTATGCCTTCATCATGCTACGTTGGCAAGTCTCAAACCCTGGTAAAATCCAGCTGTCTGTTCTGCCCATGCAACCAACAGCCTAACCCTGCTGAGTGGTTCTAGAGTCAGTCTGCCACAATCTAAAAGGGGTGTTCTGTTCAGATGCCCTAGTTATGCTTCCTACCCATTCAAAAAACCAACATTTCACACTTTCTCATCTCTTCTCAAATCTCCTATACATCTCCCTCATCGCTGCCCATCAACTAACTCAGCCAGTGATCTTGCTTCATACTTCACTGAGAAGTGAATGTCTGAGGATTCAGACAGGAGTACACTTATATTCTGCCCGGTGTTTGCCTTCTCTCTACACATATGTATGTTCTTCTTGCCTTCCGATTACTATGGAGGATGTGTCCTGCTCCAGAAAAGGGTCTGTAATCTCTACTACAGCTATGGATTCTAACCTCTTCTTTCCTTCAGGGATTTTGTTCCTATCATTACCCCTCATTTGTCTTGCCTTCTGTATTAACAATTTCTCCTTCTCTATTGGATAATTTATACCAGGATAAACACATACTGTAGTATTCTCTAACTTAAAAAAATCCTTCATCTACGTAACATTTCTCTTCCCTTCTACAGCAAGTGTTGCTAAATTTTTCCTTCAGTACCTTCCACCTGGACTTCAATTGCCACTATTACACAATTTGCTCTTGGCAGTGAACTCCATGCTATCAAACTCAATATACTCTTCACTGTGTGTTTTTCCCCCAGCTCTATTGAGGTATAATTGGTATACAAAAATCTGCCCATAATGTGTACAGTTTGGTGAATTGGGGCATATGTATACACTCTCATTTAACCTCATCTTAACATTCTACAGAGACGCATATCCTTCTTTCCTGAAATATTTCATTCTCTTGGTCATCTATATATTCTGCCTAGGTGACTGCATATCAAAATCCAAGGACTAGGTAAGAGCTAATAATTCCCAAAATGAAAACTCCAGGCTTTACACCGTGGGACTCCAGACTCATCCGCATGCCCAAAGAGCATACTTTATTTACACCCTTTGGCAGAGAGATGATACTGAACTCACCACATCTGTACACGAAAGAAAAGAGTGTCCACTTAGGTAGGTTCAGGCTATAGGACTGAATTTAACAAAGAAATATGAGTGAAAGTAGTGCATCAGCCTATCACTTTCAGTCTAAGGGACCTAAGAGCCAGGATGCTGCTTCTACCTCTTTTCTTCTAACATGACAACCTTGGAGTCCTCTTGCTGAGATGGTAGAGCCACAAAATGGTAACAGATGAGATCACTGAGTCTCCGTGACTCTCATTAGACTTTATTCAAGCCAGAAATAAACCTTTTAAAATTAACTTATTGATATTTCAGTTTGCAATTCCATCTGTGCCTATCTCATCCCAGAACAATCCCCTCACTTACTACAACCAAGCCTTCACTATGTCCCCTCCATTTTCACCTACTTCTCCCACCCTGCTCCAGGCCACCATCATCATTTAAGTCAACTGATTTAATAACCTCCTCACTGGTTTCCCTGCCTCCATTTTTACCCCCATACAGCCCATTCTCTGTATATTAGACAGAAATCTTACAAATATCTACGCAGTATTATTTGACAATCAAATCCAATTTACTTCTCCAGAGAACACTCCAGCCTAGTTTGGGCTCTGGGTACACAATGCCCACCCCGAAAATAGTGCCTTTGTACTACCTCTTCTCCCTCATCTGCACCTAGCTTGCTCCTTGCTTCCATTTATATATCAGCTTCGCAGAGAAGCTTTCCATGACCTTGCAGACTAATAGCCACCAGATATTCTCCATAATACCACCCAATTTTAATTATCTCCATATCCCTTATAACTATTAGAATAGTTTTCTTCTTGTTTGTCATCTCTCTGCCATGAGAAGGCAAGTGCCTTAAGAGCTGAGAACTAAATTGTCTTACTAATGTATACCCAAGATATACAATAGGCACTAAATGCTCTTGGGATTGAATGAACAAGTAATAAGTGTGAAACACAAATGAGGATAATGTCATGATAACCCTCCCTTGAAAGGATGTCAGAGGGCTATGTACCTGCAATTGTTCCAAGTAGCTATGTTTTGAGTCCCAATATAATACAAGCTTTTTAAAAAAATCCATTTATAAGTTCTTTCCATTTGCCACAAATATCTGCCGTTCCTTTAATTACCTTTCTCTCATCTGCTAAAGCTAGAAAACCAACCTCACCAACTGGCCTGAGTTTACATTCCTTTAATTACCTTTCTCTCATCTGCTAAAGCTAGAAAACCAACCTCACCAACTGGCCTGAGTTTATTTGTGAGCACTCAAATTAAAAATATAGGAGGGAGGGCTTCCCTGGTGGCGCAGTGGTTAAGAATCCGCCTGACAATGAAGGGGACACGGGTTCGTTCCGTGGTCCGGGAAGATCCCACATGTCGCAGAGAAACTAAGCCACCGCAATGAGAAGACCACGCACCGCAATGAAGAGTAGTCCCTACTCGCCGAAACTAGAGAAGGCCCGCGCACAGCAACGGAGACCCAACACAGCCAAAAACAAATAAATAAATAAATAGAGGAATCCATGAATTATGAGATTTAGCACGTAACAGACATCATCTCAGATTGTAATTGGTAGTTTTTTTCTTCTTTTTGAACCAAGTTCTGTAGGGCTGAAACTCCTACATAAAGCTCTCATTTCTGAAGTCTTACCATATTTTATTTTCTACCTAACAATCCATCTACATGTTCAAAACAACCATAGCCACTTCTAAGCCTGACAGAGAGGGCCATCTTGGAGCCATTCTAATTATGTGACATTACCCTATACACAAAACACTCGAATACATGGATAATAGATATAAGCCAAGCTATAATACCCCAAAAGGAGAATATATACAAACACATATATATGTGTCTAAATAAGACTTGAGAAATATACTTAACTGTATAATATGAAAATTTTTAAGACAAGTATGTTTGAAGAAATAAAATTTCATACCTCCCTGTAATAGTCTACAAAGGAGGTTTCACTGCCATCTGATCTTGTAACTGTAGAGCTGGGAGACTTCTCCCAAGTAATACCATCCACCCTATAGGTTCTGTTGTCATACCTGTGAAATAATCGTAATATATGGTATTATTCCTGACGTTATTGCATGGAACCATGTAAGAAAGAAGTGGTTTAAAATCCTACAGGTAATTGCAGGATATATAGCTTTACTAAGATTAATTCACATAACATGCAATTCAGCCACTTAAGCGTGCAGTCCAGTGGTTTTTAGTATACTTACTGAGTGGTGCAACCATCACGCGATTTTAGAATATTTTCATCACCCAAAGAAGAAACACCTGAACCATGAGCGGTCACTCCTTGTTTCCACCCAATTCCCCCGGGCCTTAAACCACCACTAGTTTACTTACTGTCCCTATGCACTTGCCTACTCATCACATTTCATATAAATTGAGTCATATAATACGTGATCTTCCCTGACTGGCTTCTTTCACTTAGCATAATATTTTCAGGGTTCATTCATGCTGTAGCATGTATTGCTACTTCATTCCATTTCACTGACAAATAATATATCATTGTATAGATATACCACATTTGTGTTTATCCATTTACCAGTTGATGAACATTTGGGTTGTTTATGCTCAAGCTAGTATGAATAGTGATGTTGTGGACATTCATATACCAATTGTGGTGGATATGTTTTTATTTCTCTTGGGTATATAACCTGGAGTGGAATTGCTGGGTCGTATGGTAATGCTATATTTAGCACATTGAGGAAATGCCAGGCTGTTTCCCAAAGAGGCCATACTTATACCAGCAGTGTATAATGGTTGGTTTCAATTTTTCCACATCCTTGCCAACACTTGTTAATATCTTCCTTTTTAACTTTTAGCAATCCTAGTAGATAGGAAGTGGCATTTCATTGTGGCTTTAATTTGCATTTCCCTGATGGCTAATGATGTTGAGCATCTTCTCATATGATTATTGGCCATTTGTATATTTTATTTGGAGAAATGTCTATTCAGATCCTTTGCCCATTTTTTAAAGTTGAGTTTCCTTGATTGAGTTGTAAATATTCCTTATGTATGTAGATACAAATTATTTATTACATGTGATTTGCAAATATTTCCCCCTGTTCTGCCAGTTGTCTTTTCACTTTCTTGACAGTATACCTTAAAGAACAAACATTTTATTTGGTTAAGTCCAATTTATTTGTTTCTTTGGGCATTACTTGTGCTTTTGGTGTCTTATCTAATAAGGTTTTTGCCTAACTCAAAGTCAAGATTTACTCTTATGTTTTCTTCTAAGAATTTTATATTTTTACCTCTTTTAGTTAGGTCTATCTCGAGTTAATTTTTTAGTAAATTTGAGTTAATTTTGTGTATCCTGTGATGAAGGGGCAGGTGAATATCCAGCTATCCCAGCAATACTTGTTGAAAAGACTGTTCTTTCCCTGATTGAATTATCTCCATACCCTTGTTCAAGTCAACTGACTATAAAAGTGAGCGTTAATTCATGGATTCCCTATTCTGTTTCACTGGCTTTTAGGTCTATACTTATACCAGCGTCACACTGTCTCGGTTACTGTAGCTTCATAATAAGGTTTGAAATTAGGAAGTGCAAGTCTTCCAACTTTGCTCTTCTTAAAGATTGGATTTAAGGTTACTTAGCCAAAACATCCTCTTACCAATTAAGATTTCTGGTGTAGAGGGAGATTAAAAATAAAAACTTCCTTCAAATGGAAATTTGCTAGTAGATTATAATTAAGCACCAATTTTTAAAAATAGCTAGACAAAGAGAAAGGAAAAGAGAAATTTGGAAGATGCATACTCTCTTGAGTGCAAGTGAGCGTTCAGAGCCAACAACTGAGTTAGCAGTAGGACTCAGAAGAACCTCAGAGTTTACAATTGACACATGTTCCTCTCCCATGCTGTATAACCAGATGAGAAAAATTATCCAGTGATTCTTGCCATTTTCATGCTATTTCTACTTCTGAATGTCTATATTTAATCATTCAAAAACCCTAGGAACATCTCTAATGAAAAAAAGTCAAAGTGATTGGATAGGTTTCCAAAAAGCAGACTTACTTTGTAAGAACAGATGACCCAACTAACTTTTTAAGAATTTTCTCTTTTGCATCTTCTCCTCTGGCTTTTTCACGACTGTGTGATATTAAATCATAAGCAGTTTCCATTCGGAGCAGTTTATGGCTCACATCAGCACAGAGGGTAAGACCAGCTTCATATGGAAGAATGGAAGTAATATAGCCAGGCCAGATTTACAATCTGCAAATAAGTTAGATGTGGGTTTCAAGATCCCAGCTCTGGCCGTAAAGCCAGGTATTAGGGAACCTAAACTCACTGTCTAAAATTGATACTTTTAGAGTCAGTTTTAATCTCTTATTTTTAATAATCACTGGTCTTTTGAAGGACCTTCAAACAGAGATTTTTACCAGATGCGCTAGTTATAAGTAATACATCATCTTTGTTAAACCATTTTTATTATCACCTATGGGCTTAAACTGTTATATATACTCATATGTGAGGATATATATGATATATACATATGTAAATTATATACACGTATACCAAGGAGTAATACATACACATAGACACAAGTGTTATGATTGACAATATTTTCAGAGAAATTACCCAAGTTTGAGATGATTATTTGGTTCTTTAATGTAGAAGTTTATAGGATAAAATAGTAAGTCTTTCTCCCAATGTTTTTTTCTGCTAAAGTTTTAGAGGGAACAAGAAATTTTAAAAATTACTCAAAACTTCATTATCGGCATTTGAGACATATTGTACCATTAAAAAGGTGGTAAAAGATATATTTTTTACCTTTGTACTAAATTCAGTTTAAGCAGTGAAATGAGACACTAGAGAATATCGGTGATAATCAAACATGGCATGTGGGTTTGTTACAAGTCCTATGGGCAAGGGATGTTCAGGATATCTCCACAAACTGTTGCACAGGAATAGTGGGAGTTTGGCTCTAATAGAGTGAAAAATGGGAGAGAAAGAGCAATGTCAGGAAAATGTAGAATATTACTTAACCGTTTCCCCTAGTGAGTGAAGTAATAATAAAGAGTTTCCATCACGTATACGACGATGTCCCAATAACTTTCCAAGTTCAGAGAGTAAAGCTTCACGTTTTCGTCCATCCTCTATGTCTGGCATATAGATGACATTGTACTTGTGTGAATTCCCATGGGAACAAGACTTCAGCTGGACATGGTTCAAAAATAGCATTACCGGGCTACCTAGCATGCCTGAAAAATGGAGCCACATGTTAATCATGAAACAGAGTGGCTGATCAGACCCCAAACAATTTCGACACCACAATATTAAGAACCAAAGTTAGATCCAACCAGGAGATTGACAACAAACAACATAAGCAATTATATACACCTGGCCTCCAGAATCCCTAACATCAGTTTAGGTGAATCCTTATGCAAGCCCACATTTAGGAAGTTCAAGGATCAAGGTATTTAACGATAATAAAAATAGCAAACGGAAACCTCTGCCAAAAGCAGGGGATTAGGGGAGGGGAGCCACGGTATGTAATAATGTTTAGTTTTCTGGGTTTTTTAAAAATCTCAGCACAACCGAAGAACTGGGTCATTCTATCTTAAGTGGCTATAAAAGGAAGAGATGAAAATGAAGAGTACATCCAGGACTCTTAAGTCTTTGTTTATGCAAAAGTGAATGTTATTACAAAAATGTGAGAAGGTGAGAGGGTACCTCCACTTAAGGTGATGGTATAAAGCATCATAGATACTTAAACAACTCTATAACATTGTATTGTTAACGATCAACATACCTTTTGTTGAGTCTCTAACATGGCCTAATATCTGCTGAGTATTCACCACAAAGTCTCGATAATCCCTGCCAACATCCCTCCTCTGCCTCAGCGAGGATTCCTGCAACCCAGATGCCAGTTGAAGTTCCTCTACATGTAAACAAGCATGAAACTTGTTAATTTACACAAAAAGGGAAATGTAAATAGAAAGGACAATATTACACCCCAGCTATTAAGAGTTAAGATTGTTTGAGGAAGAAAAGATATCAAAGGATCCCAACATTATTTTAGCAATGGGTCATCAGAAAAGAAGAGTCTTACTCAGAAGCTTTTCCCAACAAGTCCCCAGTCCACATCGGTGTTTGCCTTCGCACCTCATTCCTCCCTGCTCTAATATTTGTCTTGTTTCATCTGGTTTTGGTTCAGAATACAAGATTCTTCAACTGGAATATTGTTCAACATTAAACAATGAATTCTATGGGCTTCCCTGGTGGCGAAGTGGTTAAGAATCTGCCTGCCAGTGCAGGGGACACAGGTTCAAGCCCTGGTCCGGGAAGATCCCACATGCCGCGGAGCAACTAAGCCCGTGCACCACAACTACTGAGCCCACGTGCCACAACTACTGAAGCCCGCACGCCTAGAGTCCATGCTCCGCAAGAGAAGCCACCACAATGAGAAGCCCATGCACCGCAACAAAGAGTAGCCCCCGCTCGCCACAACTAGAGAAAGCCCAGGCATAGCAACGAAGGCCCAATGAAGCCAAAAATAAATAAATAAAAATAAATTTTAGAAAAATCTTGCAATATGTAACAACATGAATGAACCTTGAAGACACTCACAAAAGGACAAATACTGCATAATTCCACTTATACATTGAAAATAGTCACACTCAGAAGCGGAGAGTAGAATGGTGGTTTTCAGGGAGTGGGAGAAGGGAACTAGGGATTTGCTAATCAACAGGTGTAAAATTAGAGTTATGCAAGATAAGTTAGTTCTTGAGATCTGTGGTACAACATTGTGCCTATAGTTAATACTGTGCTGTACATTTAAAAATACAATAAGAGGGTAGAACTCTATTGTTCTTACCACAATAAAAATTTAAAAAATGTTTTAAAAAGGTGGTTGGAGAATCAGATCTAAGGTTTCACTGCATTACCCAAATCCTTGGCAAACGACAACATCTGAGCCTGTGGGCTTACCTGTATAATGATAACTGTTCACCTGTGAGGATAATACAATGTAGGTAAACATTTGAGGAACTGCTCAACCTTTCAGTATAGCGATTCACGAACCCAAGAAAAATCTTGTTCCCTGAACTAGTTAACTTATAGTTGTCATACCAATGCATTTTCTAAATTTGAAAAGCAATTACATTGAATTAGCTAATGAATAATGACCTCTATTTCTTTTTCCATAAGTCTTAAAATATAAGGGGAATAAAGCATTGATAGCCAGATAATTCACTGCAGGAGATAGTTGAGAGCTGTACCTTCTTCCCATCCTGCCAAACATCACGGGAACACCGAGGCTGTCTGTCTAGAATTTTATCACTGTCATGTACCGTCACGTATTAAGTATCCTCTACCCCTCACCATATCTTTCTTCTTCCCTCTTTTTACCTGAAGGCTGCGGTGTTCCTTCTGCTTCTGTTGGTGGTCCAGCCCCAGCCACGTGGCTAACACCCCACAGCTGCTTGAGCCTAGCCTGGATTTGACGAGGTTGCTGAGCCTGCAAGTTTTTGGAGATAAAAATAAAGAGTAATGTTATCCATATGTTCGACCGTCACCCAAAAATTATCATATGCCTGCCATGTGCCACGATGCATGTATCAGAGCATAAAGCAAAGGAACTTGCTTGAAAACCTCATATTCCAGTGACAGAAAATAAATTGATGACTAACTTATATGGCATGAATATGATAATTGCTAGGGAAATGAAAAAAGTAGAACAAAGCCAAGTATGGAAAATTGGGAGTTATTGGGAAGGTGGGGTATGAAAGGGGCTGGTTGCATTAATTCATGGGGGACAAAGCAGAGCCTCAGTGCGAAGTTGACGCTGAAACAAAGACTCAGAGGCAGTGAGTTAACAAGGTTACACAAGCCTCAGGTGGAGGAAAGAGCAAGCTCCTAAGGAAGAATTGTTCAAGGGAGAGCAAGATGAACAAGGGAGGGGGAAGCAGGGGGACCTGGGGAGGTAGTGGGAGGGAGGCCATGTTAAGGAAATCTCCTGTGACTCTGAGAAAATGGGAACTCTTACAGGCTGTGGGTTGGACGTGAATCCAATTTACCGGCTCTGTGCTGGGAACAGACTGAGGATGAGACCAGGGCAGAAGCAAGAAGGCCAGTTACGAGGCCATTTGTGGGGTCCAGCCAGGGATGCTGGTGGTTTGGCCCAGAGGGTGGTAATAGAGGGGATGAGAAATGATCAGAGACTGGATATTTTTTGAACATCAGGGACAACAGTATTTCCTGATTGTTTATGTGAAGGGTTTGAGGTCAAAAGAGGATGAATCCAAAGACTTTGGCCTAAACAACTGGAAGAAAGGGATTTCATCAGATGAAGTAGTTAGGAATTGTCTGGGAGGGCAAATCAGGGGCGTGAGACATGCATGGGGATGTTCGTTTAGTGCAGGAGAGGGAACTTGTCCACATACCAGATCGCACCTAAAGCCATGATACTGATAAGATGACCAAGGGTGTGAGTGCATGTACCAAGGAGAAGAGGCCCAAGGACTAGGTCCTGGGCATATGGACAGGACAGGAGGAGAACCCAGCCAAGGGAAGCTACAGCAGTGGCCAGTGAGGTTGGTGGAAAACCAAGGGTGTGCGGTGACCTGACCAGCACATGGAAGGAGTTAATCAAGGAGAAAGGAGGGCTCAACTATTCCAAGTACAAGTGATAGGCAAGACCAAGGAGGACCTAGGACGGACCTGGGGATTTGACAAAGTGGAGGATACTGAGGAAGCCTGACAAGAGCCATTTCAGTGGAGCAATGGGGAGAGCACCTGATTGGAGTGAAGGGTCAAGAGGGAGATAAGGATTGGAGTTCAGAAACGAGACAAGACTTCGTTGATGGGAAGCAAAGAGAAAGGAAGTAATTGTGAGGAAAGCAGATCCAGGAGAGGATTCTCATTGGATGGCAGTCAACTCAGCTGGTTGTAGGCAGATGGGGATGATCTAGGACTTGGGAGATAGGAGAATTGCAGGAGAGATGCCAGGGGATAGAGAATTGGCTAAGGGGCCCAGGAGATTTTTCCTTTAGGTAGGAGCAGAGCCAGTGCCCTAGGGTCTCGGGTGAGGGGCCAAGGCCAGGATGTGGAGATTCGGTGAAGACAGCATTGAAGTTCTGCTTTGATGCTTTATTTGTCTCAGTGACATAGGAGTTGATGTTAAAGGCTGAAAATTAAGACGGGGGAGGAGCAGCAGGAAGGGTTGAGGCTTGAGCAGGTGGGGGAGGCGAAGAAACAGGACCTGATGGGGTCATATGACTGCTGGCCAGCACTGGGACCCATCAGAGGTCAAAGCAAGACCCCCTAAAACATGCAAAGTGGATGCGGGATAAGAGAGGACAGAAGTGCATAGAGACAGCAGGGATAGCAAGTTTTAAACAAGACTAAAAAATTCTATCCAACTCAGTCTGTTCAAACACTTGCCTGAAATTGCCCATTTTGAAATCACTCCCCAAAGAGGAGTCACTGGCTGAGACCAAGAGATGTAGATGACTTTCCATCCACTGGGGTTTGGAAGAAGGTCTGTTTGCATCTATGAAGATGCACATGAAAGGGAAGGGGTAGAGAGGATATCCGGGTAGAGAGGATATCCAGGTAGATAAAGCCTACCCACACCGACAGCCATGGAATCTGAATTTTCTTACAAGATGCATTAGTTCCCTCTCAGCAGGAGAGAACTCTAAACCTGAACTGTACTGACTCAGCAAGGCATCTTTAGGAACATTAGGAAGCTCACTGCTGTGCCACGTCTCACTATGTCAGCGAAGCTCCGTTGTAGGTCAGTTCTGGGTACTTCAGGACCCCCTAGCCACCTCAGGCTTAGCAGGCTCCACGGATGCTGGATTGCACGCTCTACCTCGGGCTCGAACCCTGGCCCTGCCGGTCATTGCTGTCCCGAAGGTGATGACCCTGAAGGGGGGAGGCCCTTAAAAAACATGGTTTTGTTAAACATCTCTGTGTAGTTGCCTGGGAACTTTTTTTTAAACTACGACTTCAAATAAAGCATCAGGTTTCTAGCTACACACGTTTTCCAGTCACACCAACAAGAGGGACTGCCCCTAACTTGTCAGAGAAGTGTCCTGTAGTAAAAGACAGGGGACCTGGGCAGATACTTATGGGAATTTAAGAAAATTGTTGATTATGATTCTTTTCCACACACAGATTCACGAGACACTATGGTCAAAGTGCTTTCTAGTACAAGTCAGGTGTGTACTGGGTTCTTCTTACCTACTAGGCATCCCCATAGCACAGTGAGGAGCCTGGGTGTCCCCTAGACTTTCTCTAACGCACACACACACACACACACACACACACACGGTGTCCCCTAGACTTTCTCTAACACACACACACACACACACACACACACCTCTAAATTGCTACTCCACCCACCTATCTCCAGTCTTGGTCCTCAGCCCACACAGCTCACCTACCCTCCTTCCTCTTCTGCAATTAGGAAGATCTGTGCATGATGCACCCACAGTTTTGTGCCCTCGGGTCCCTCTCCTCCAGCCCCACAGTGTCTGAGCGCCGATTTCTGCAGGGTTAGAGGTGCAAAGCTCCTTCTAAAAGGGTTAGCCCTTCCCAGGACACAACCCTGTGCCCCCAAAGCAGTCACCAAGCAGGGGTGGGATTGGAGGGAGAACTAGCCTGGCCACTTTGTGGGATGCGCCTCATCCCGAGCAGGGCAGGTGCCCGGTGCAGGCCTACCTCAATTTCATTTTCAACCCTGCTGCCCAGCCTCTTCCGGCGCCGCCTCCATCCTGGCCCAAATGCAGCCAACTCTAAGCTGCACCTGGTGAATTAAGAGATGCTCCGAGTGTCAGTGGGATGGGAAGGTGGGAGGGGGAGTGGCTCTGCCTGCCCTTGGGCCCACCTGATCCCACCCATCAGCCATCCGCAGATTAACCTGCCGAGTGACTTTACCAAATGATGTTCACTTGGAACTCCAGAAACTTATGTCCTTAGCACTTAATACTTGAACTAAATCCCTGCTGTGGCCAATATAACTAACTCAGTTGTAGCTACTGTGGCTGTCTTTGGACTCAAACCTGGGCTCATCCCTAGTTGTCTCCCTGGCACAGATCCCTACAAGTGGATTTGCAGTGATATTTAAGCTAACTATTGGAGGTTGTTTTTGTAAATGATATTTGTTGTATCAGTCGTTTTGTTAATTGCCTCCAGGTTCTGTCATTCTTTGGCTTTGCCATTTAAAAATTTTATTAGGGCTTCCCTGGTGGCGCAGTGGTTGAGAGTCCGCCTGCCGATGCAGGGGACGCGGGTTTGTGCCCCAGACTGGGAAGATCCCACATGCCGCAGAGCGGCTGGGCCCGTGAGCCATGGCCACTGAGCCTGCGTGTCCAGAGCCTGTGAGAGGCCCGCAGCAGTGAGAGGCCCGTGTACTGAAAAAAAAAAAGAACTTATGACTAAAAAAATAGTTATGACTGAGAACCATAAACAAAATGAAAAGACAACCTATGGAATGGGAGAAAATATTTGCAAGAGCTTTATTTCCAAAATATACAAACAACTCATACAACTCAACAACAACAAAAAAAACAAACAACCCAATTGAAAAATGGGCAGAAGAGCTAAATAGACATTTCTCCAAAGAAGACATACAGATGGCCAATAGGCACATGAAAAGATGCTCACTTTGTTATAAAGCAGAAACTAGCACACCATTGTAAAGCAATTATACTCTAATAAAGGTGTTTAAAAAAAAAGAAAAGATGCTTAACATCACTAATTATTAGAGAAATGCAAATCAAAACTACAATACAAAGAGGTACCACCTCGTACCAGTCAGAATGGCCATCATTAAAAGATCTACAAATAACAAATGCTGAAGAGGGTGTAGAGAAAAAGGAACCCACCTACACTGTTGGTTGGAATGTATTGATAAGTTGGTGCAGCCACTATGGAAAACAGTATGGAGGTTCCTCAGAAAACTAAAAATAGAATTACCATATGATCCAGCAGTCCCACTCCTGGGCATATATCTGGACAAAACTATTATTCAAAAAAATAAATGCACCCCTGTGTTCATAGCAGCACTATTCACAATAGCCAAGACATGGAAACAACCTAAATGTCCATTGGCAGATGAATGGATAAAGAAGATGTGGCACATATATACAATGGAATACTACTACTCAGCCTTAAAAAAAGAATGAAATAATGCCATTTACAACAACATGGATGCAACTAGAATTATCATACTAAGTGAAGTAAGAAAGTGAAGGACAAATACCATACTATATCACTTATATGTGTAATCTAAAATGCAGCACAAATGAACCTATCTATGAAACAGAAACAGACTCACAGAGAACAAACTTGTGGTTGCCAAGGGGAAGGGGGGTGAGGGAAGGATGGATGGAGTTTGGGGTTAGTAGTTGCAAAATATTACATGTAGAATGGATAAACAACAAGGTCCTATTGTATATCATAAGGAACTATATTCAGTATCCTGTGATAAACCATAATGGAAAAGAATATGAAAAAGACTATATAGATGTATAACGGAGTCACTTTGCTGTATAGCAGAAATTAACACAACATTGTAAATCAGCTATACTTCAATAAAAAAAAATTTAAAAAAAGAAGCTATGACTGAAAATCTTGGAAATAAGGAGAACACATATGCTTGTTATGTCAGTAACAACTAAGGAAGCCAATTACAAGTTCTAGTAAAATAAGTTTGTGCAAGGAAGTCGTGGGCCAAATAGGAGGCCAGTGAAAATGAGGCATGACTTTGAGCCTGTGATGGGTTATAAATTTAGAAAACCATTTGATACTTGGATGGAACAATTTCCTTAGAATGACCCAGGACTGGTATTTCATTGTGTCCAATGGAATATTATTCCATTGTGTGTGTGTGTGTGTGTATGACATATATATATATAATATATATATTATATATATATATAACATTTTCTTTATTCATGCGTCTGACGATGGAGATTGCTTCCTTGGATTAGCTCTAGTAATTGATGCTGCTATGAACATGGGTGTACAAATATCTCTTTGAGATCTTGCTTTCAATTCATTTGGGTATACACCCAGAAGTGAAGTTGCTGGGTCATGTGGTAATTCTATTTTAAATTTTTTAGTAACCACCACACTGTTTTCCATAGTGGCTGCAGCATTTTACATTCCCACCAACAGTGCACAAAGTTTCCAATTTCTCCACATCCTCACCGACACTTGTCTTTTGTTTCTTTGATAGTAACCATTCTGATGGATGTGAGGTGGCACCTCCTTGTAGTTTTGATTTGCATTTCACTAATGATTAGTAATGTTGAGCATCTTTTCACATGCTTGTTGACCATTTGTATACACTTTTGAACAAATGTTTATTCAACTCCTTTGCCCATTTTTGAATGGGGACATTAGTTTTTTGTTATTGGATTGTAAGAGTTCCTTATATATCCTGAGTATTAACCCCTTATGAATGATTTGCAAATATTGTCTCCCATCCCCTGGGTTACCTTTTTCACTCTGTTGATTGCGTCATTTGATGCACATAAGTTTTTAATTTTGATGTAGTCATTTATCTATTTTTATTTTGTTGCCTGTGCTTTTGGTGTCACATCCAAGAAATCATTGCCAAACCCAACATCATGTAGATTTTTGCCCTGTATTCTTCTTCGAGTTTTATAGGTTTAGCTCTTACGTTTAGATATTTGATCAGTTTTGAATTAACTTTTGTATATGGCATAAAGTGAGAATCCAACTTTATTTATAATTCCATGAATATTTGTGGCTTTTCTGCTTATTTCTCCCTCAGCCTTGGCCATTACACATGGTTCCCACTCACTGCCCGTGTGGATGCCTCCTCCGAAGCAGCTTGTCTGTACCTGGGATGAAGAGCCACTAGGTGGCGCTGTTGTCACTCGTGAGTTTCGGCGACGATAAATCTACACCAGCCTCTGTAGCAAGGGCTTTAATTTACATAGGTTAAATCATTTAATCCTCACAATGACCCGGAGAAGGAGACAGTGAGGCACAGAGAGGCAAAGTTGCTTACTCAAAGTCACACAGCTAGGAAGTATCAGAGACAAGATTCAAATCCATAAGCCAGGGGCAGGAGGTTTCTGCAGTGAAATTGTCAGTGTACAAACACCAGCTGTCCCTGCCCGGGAAAGGCCTTTTTTTTTTTTTAGGGCTGAAATTAGGTCCTTCTTATCCTTTAGGTGTTAAGATGGTTTTTCTTTTCATTTTTTAATTTATTTATTATTTTTGGCTGCGTTCGGTCTTCGTTGCTGCCCGCGGGCTTTCTATAGTTGCAGAGAGCAGGGGCTACTCTTCGTTGCGGTGCGCGGGCTTCTCATGACAGTGGCTTCTCTTGTTGTGGAGCACGGGCTCTAGGCGTGCGGGCTTCAGTAGTTGTGGCACACGGGCTTAGTTGCTCCGCGGCATGTGGGATCTTCCCAGACCAGGGCTCGAACCCATGTGCCCTGCATTGGCAGGCGGATTCTTAACCACTGCGCCACCAGGGAAGTCCCGGTTTTTCTTTTATGAAATGATGGAGACAGTGGATGTGTGGTGGTTTTTTGCGTCCTTAATAACCAAAATTAAAAATTTCCAGGAATTCCCTGGTGCTCCAGTGGTTAGGACTCCACGCTTTCACTGCTGAGGGCACAGGTTCAATCCCTCGCCTGGGAACTGAGATTTTGCAAGCCACGTAGCACAGCCGGAAAAAAAAAATTTTTCCTATCCAATACATATTCCCCTGCAATTTTCAGGCCCCAAATATGCAAGATCAGGAACCATTTCCCTTAATGAACAAGCTATGGTGTTCAGTTAGGAAATTCAAGTGTGTACAACAATTCTGTTGGTCACGCAGTCCAAGTGGAATACAGTCAGTAATGTGGCACATATATTT